TTGAGAGCATAATGTTAACTGAAATAAATCAGATGCACATGTTTAAATATCGTATTGTTTCTCTTGTGTGAGAAAACCAAAGGGCATTTAAAGACCAAAATGGCGGATACGTATTTTAACTCAAGAAGTAATGTTCAAATGAAAAGCAGAACAAGGCAGGGAGGAGGGAGAAGAAAAGAAAGAGAACAGGGATAGAGAGGAAAAAGAATAGAAGGAAAACAAGAGAAATAAATTTTTATAAATGACAAAGAGAAGGATTGAAAGGAAGAGAGAGGAATAGAAAAAAGAATTAAGATATAAATGTACAGGTACAAATTCTCTATGATGAATGTGATTGTATGTGTAACAATAACATATTTAAAAGATACTATCCCTAAAAGTGATGTTAATTTAGAACATACAAGGTATCTTTGTACATGTAGCAGCAATTCCTCAGCCAAAGACAAGTAATCATTATTTTAGTTTTATTTAACAAAATAGAGCTTCTGGTAGCTGTCAATCACTGTGGCTGAAAAACAAATACATGACAATGATATGATTTCACTGAGGTCACTTTTATGTCTTTTACTGGATTTCAGGCTGTCTCACAATATATGCATAAGGATATAAAGTCCTGTATGAAAAAATCCGAGATAATTGATGTCATCTGACAGGCACTAAACAGCTGAATAATACCCCGGGGTCACTTTCATGTCAGGTAGTATCCCAGGCACAGACAGAACTTCGAAGTACAGTGGCTGTCCTACAAACTGGCACAGAGCACCTGAAGACTAAGTACCACTATACATGAGATCAGGGATGGGAACACTTTTCCGACTTGGAGGAAGTCCAGGAAAGCACTTGCTGGAGGTCAGACCTCGTCCAGCAGGGGGCGCAGCTTCCTTACACGGATGGATTTCCTGCCTTAGTTGTAGGCTCATCTCACTATGCCTTGGATGGTTCTTCATGTAAAGAATCAAGAACCTTACTTAGGGGACATCTAATGATGAACACTTCTGTCAGCGTAGTGACTGTGGTAGTCTTAGCAGTTGGTAAGTAAAACGCCTTTTGCCACGAAGTGTCTTTTGTCTATGATGTCACAAAATCTTTCAGTTTCTCTAAGAGTTTTTGCCTTAGATGACACAGATCTGTTTAAAGGATATGTGGGCAATCAGTGACCCAGATGGAAGGCCCAGTGTCTATCGCAGAAGGGGCTCTGCTGACCATCAACTGCTCCTATACAGCCTCAGGCTACACTGTACTTTTCTGGTATGTCCAGTACCCCACAGAAGGTCCACAGCTTCTTCTAAAAGCTGTGAAAGCCAATGAGAAGGGAAGAAGCAAAGGATTTGAAGCCACAAATGATAGAGCAGCCAGCTTCTTCCACTTGGAGAAAGCCTTCGTGCAAGTGTCAGACTCGGGGGTATACTACTGTGCTGTGAGTGACACAGTGGCAGGAGCTGTAGGGGGAGCTGGGCGCAAACTCTGAGGGGCACCAGGGTCTTGGCTGCTGGGTGTCTGCCTCTGAGCCCCACTGTGCTTTCAGTGTATTCTCTGCTGTGTGGTTGATAAGAAATCTTATAAATATCCATAGCACAACAGACAATGGATAGCCCCAAGTCAGCTTTTCACCAGTGAAGTTGAAAGCAGGATTTTACAGTGCCAGTCCTCTATGCAGGGCTGAAATGATTTTAAGATAAAACCCAGGAGGACAGTGTTGTAGGCTTTGTATTTGAAATTTTTTAGGTGAACTGAGGAGAAGCACCCT